GTCTGTGTGTGCCCTGCGATTGGCTGGCAACCAGCTCAGGGCGCCCCCCCCCCACCACCCCTACTGCCCGACGACAGCTGGGCTCCAGCACGCCCCGCGACCCATGTGAGGATAAAACCATTAATGGATGGATATTTATAGTGCTTTTAGAAATCAGTGAAATATTTTGAGCATCTTTGTTTGAGTTGTGGTCAGACTGTGCTTCAGGTGCACTTCATGGTTTGCTCTTGGATCATTTATTCTTTTCTAATATTTTTGGGTAATTCTGTATTTTTGTGTATTCTTCACATTTTAAATGTTATAATTTTTGTCGAACATCGCTGCAATTTCCCTAATATTTATACATCTTACGAATATATATATTTTTTTATATTTTCTTAGATTTGTGTATATTGCACACAATAGAAAAAAGTACTTGTTATATTTACAGCGCGTCAACCTCACAGTGCAGCGGTACCGGGTTCGATCCCAGCTCCTTCCTTCCTGTGAGTACCTGTGAGTTTACATGTTCTCCCCGGGCCTGCGTGGGTTTTCTCCGGGTACTCCGGTTTCCTCCCACGTTCCAAAAACATGCATGGCAGGCTGATTGAACACTCTAAATTGTCCCTAGGTGTGAGTGTGAGCGCGGATGGTTGTTCGTCTGTGTGTGCCCTGCGATTGGCTGGCAACCAGCTCAGGGTGCCCCCCCCACCACCCGAAGACAGCTGGGATAGGCTCCAGCACGCCCCGCGACCCATGTGAGGATAAAACCATTAATGGATGGATATTTATAGTGCTTTTAGAAATCAGTGAAATATTTTGAGCATCTTTGTTTGAGTTGTGGTCGGACTGTGCTTCAGGTGCACTTCATGGTTTGCTCTTGGATCAAGATTTGGTCATGTGGAAAATAAAGAGAAATGGCGAGCTAAGGTTGAGACTCTCCTGCAAGCAGGATGCACCTTGCTGCAAATTTACATTTTATTTGATCTCGTTAGGATGACGATTCAAAAAAAAAAAAGAAAAAAGAAAATGAAACAAAAACAAAACACTCCTTCGCCTGCCAAGCAAAAAAAAAAAAGGAAAAAAAAGGGCTATTGGTTGATCATGACACTCCTTCGCCTGCCAAGCAAAAAAAAAAAAGGAAAAACAAGTGCTATTGGTTGATCATGAGTTCACAAATTAGAATAAAAAAAAAACAATTGAATAAAATAGCGCAACATGTAAAAACATTTTTTTTTCAGGAGCGACAACATGAGCTATGTACAAAAAACATCAACCAATCATTTCATGGATATGCCGTGTATATATACACGGTATATTAAAAACAAAACCAAAAAAACTGTATATAGCGTCTCTTTTGAACACCCGCTTTAAAAGAAAAAGCAGCTATTGGTCGATGTGAGGAGGTCATTTTTTTAAATATCCTTCAGCTGTAGATGTGGAACAGAAACAAATAAATAAAATCCGACAAGGAAAAGAGTGATCTCGTGTGTTGTATCCTGTGTGCTGTTTGTGTTTGGAATACTGCAGAGCCAGGAGATAAAAAAAAAAAAAAAATCTTCACCATCAACCAGCTTCTTTCAGCAGTTTGTTCAAGAGTTTCTCGAAGGACACTTTTTTCCCTTCTACTTTTTTCACAACAAGCAGTGAAAGAAGCCTTTCGACACGGGAGTGGGGAGCCCCTTTTTTCAACCTCTTTGTGGTTGTTTTTTTTTTTTTGGGGGGGGGTCCAGTTCCTCAGAAACCTCGACGGGGGTCCATATAAGTACAGTGGCGCCTTGAGATACGACTTTAATTCATTATGTGACCACATTCTTATCTGAAATCATAATTGCACAGAAAAAATACTTATAATCTGTGAAAGTCTCCCCAAAAAGCAAAAAATTGTCATGTTTTTTTTTTTAATGAGAAAAATAGCACTCTACTATTTCCTTCAGTCAATGGCAACCTACTCTTGTACTTTATAAACACATAAAGTAATGACACAATTAAATATAATGTGAACAATTGGGGGCAGTACATTACAGCCATACAGATATTTGGATCTGATCAGTTTCACAGTAAGCAACAGTATCGTTAGTTCTTCTTTGTAGAGGATAAAGAATATACACCAGTGAGTTGCGAAGGTGAAATTATCTGTCTACACGTGTGACTCCACTTTTTGAATTTAAATATCTGTTGCTTACATGGTTAGAACACCATGACTGGAGCTATTTGAGAGCCAGACTATGGCATTATATATTCCATTAAACTGAGCGTACTTTTCGAAGGAAAACCTGTGGTTAATTTTAATATTCGGGTAGTTAGCAGCTCAAAGACGCTTTTTTGAAGAATTGTAACTTTTTGCCAAACTGCTTATTGTGAAGTGTGTTGAACTGAAGACACTGCTACCATGCAGCACTCGTATCTCTCATTTTTTTGCTTTCAAGTTCAAGCCCCCCCCCCCCCCAAAAAAGAAAAAATCTAGAATCTAGAAATAATTGTGTCGGGTCACTTGTATCTTAAGGCGCCACTGTCGTGTCCATCTCTCTCATTTTCAAAACAACTAGAGAAAGAGAGCTTTTAACGTGGCAGTGGGGAACGTCTTTGTGGTTGTTCTTTTTTGGGGCGGCGATCCATTTTCTCCAATGCCTTGGCAGGGGTCCATATATGTAGTTTCTTTCTGCTCCCCCCCACACAATAACCAGAGAATGAAGTCTTTCAGCACAGGAATGGGGAACCCTCCCACTTTTTTTTTTTTTTTTAAGGGGCTTATATGTACATATGTCGTTTCCCACCCCTTGGTTTCATCCCAAAGTTGTTTTTTGTTGTTGTTAGCAGCCTTGTTTCACAGTTGAATTCTTTATCCACAAAATTGGCAAAATTCATATTTCTCTCTCTATTTATATATATATAGTATGTACAGAGGTAAGCTGGAGGAGGTTCTACTTACAAAAAGCACTGTAGTGTGTGTGTAGCAAAAGTAAAAATCCTGAGATATGCATTGAGGGTTTTCTGGAGAGTGTGTGATTTATGTGTGTTTATGTGTTTAAAAAAAAAAAAAAAAAAGATTCTGTGGGAGGAGGGGGTCCGGTTAGGAGGGGCTGTGTCGTGGTAGAGCCAGTATGCGTCCGTTGCTCTTGCCGCCATTCATGTGCACGAAGGGGATGTGGTGCTCCTCGTAACTTCCCCCGCCTCCGTCCCTGTCGGGGCAGCAGCGGAGTTCCCTCTGCGAGTAGGAAGAAGGGTCGAGCGGAATGCTCTCCATGTTGTCCACATCCAGGTCCAGGTCGTCGGCGCTCTCGGGGGGCTTGTTGTCTTCGCTGTAGAAGAAGGAGCGCTGGCGGTAGGACGGGTGCAGGTCGTCACGCAGCATCTCGATGATCTCCTGGAAGGACGGACGCATCTTGGGGTTGTACTGCCAGCACATTTGCATCAGGTTGTGTCTGGAAGAAGGGAAGCAAGCGGAATGGCAACGGTGAAAACATACACATTTGTGGTTCGGCATTAGTGTGAAAAAAAAAAAAAAAAAAAAAAATTTAATTCCTATCTCAATTTGTGTTTGCGTTGACTAGTTTGTTGAGTCCTGTAATTATCTTGGGATAGTGTTTGACTCAAATCTTAAATTTAACATAAACACTGAATTAAAAAAATTTTATCATGCTTTTATTGAAAGTCTTCTAACTTTTAATGGGCTGTCTGTGAAAGACAAAAACAGCATTGTCAAAGTGTGCGCCAAAGTTGTTGGACTTAAGTGCAATTTGGGAGGAACAAGTAGCGAGGTAAGCAAAAAAATATATAATTTTTTTTTAAATCTCTCCTCTTTCTCTCTCTCTCTCTCTCTCTCTCTCTCTCTCTCTCTCTCTCTCTCTCTCTCTCTCTCCATAAATATACATTAAATATTTTGCACATTATACATTTTGCACATATAATATTTGCATATTATATAATATTTTGTCCATATTTTTAAAAGTATTTTGTCATGAACCTGGTTAATAAGTTCGTGGTCGTATGTGGCCCTCGCAGTTGCACTGATGAAAACTTGTGGCCCCCTCCAACATCGACATGCGAGATGTAATGGGGTTGATGCGTTCTGATTCTCTCTGTTTTAAGTGCTTTGCTGCCATCTTGTGGCATCAAAATGTAATTACAGATATTTGGAGGGGGTGGGTAATGTCAATTGTTTGCGAAATGTTGCAGGGCTCGGCCCTACCACAACTAACAACCACCCCCTTAAAAAGTTTACAATTGCCAACACAGTCAAACCTCGGTTTTAGAATGTCTCGGTTCTCGTCCAATTCGGTTTTCGACCAAAGATTTGGAGTTTTTTTTATGCCTCGGATGACTAACAAATATTGGTTCTCGAACAAACTGAGCACACTTGAATGCACCATTTGACTCCTCTCAACCTCCTTACATGAGGAAGTGACGCTTCCTCGTGTTTGCTTTCCATTGTGAGCAGACGTGTTCAGTAAACATTTTTATTTTAAAAAGAGCGTGGTTTCGGTTTTCGAACAATTTCGGTTTTCGAACAGCCTTCTGGAACGGATTATGGACGAAAACCGAGGTTTGACTGTATTTATGTTTTAACTGTAAATAAAATAAACGTTGACAGTTGTACATTGTTGACATTATCTTGTACTCACAGTCGGTCTGCGCAGTTGTCCGGTCGATCCAGGTATCCTCCGTCCATGACAAACTTGAGCACCTGCTCGTTGGAGAGGCCCTGGTAAGGCTGCTCGGCCAGCGTGCTGATCTCCCACAGCACCACCCCGAACGACCTGCCCGCAAGGGGAAAAAAAAACATTGTGATCCAAAAACCTTCTTCATCTGACGTTCAAATCGGTGAATTACCGACCAGCAGTCCGAATGTGCAGTGAACACCCCATCTTTCAGAGACTCGGGTGCCATCCACCTGACGGGCAGCAGGCCCTTCCCTCCTTTACGGTAATAGTCTGTCTCGTAGATGTCTCGGGTCATGCCAAAATCTGAACAGAGAAGAATAACAAGTTGATTCAGCGAAAGCAATAAAACTCCATATCTTTGGAAAAATTGGGGAAAATAACACGACCGTGTCGAGTCGACTTTTCCAAAGTGTAAAACGCACCTCCTATTTTGACGGTGAAGTCTTGCGCCACCATGCAGTTCCTGGCGGCGAGGTCTCGATGCACGAACTTCTTAGCGTTGAGGTAGGCCATGCCGTCGGCAATTTCGGCCGCCATCTGGATCATCTCCTTGAGCGTGGGAGGTGGACGGCCCGGGTTGTTCTGACAATCACATCGTTTTATTTATTCACTGTTTAATGTTGCGAGTACACTGCGGCTGCCCGAGGGAATGTACGAGAAGGTGTTATTACCTCAGCATCAGGGCGCAGGGAGCGCAGGTAGCTCTTCAGGTCCCCGTGGGTCATCAGCTCCATGACCACCAGGGTGGGCTGACCTTTAGACACCACGCCTAGCAGACGTACCTAAAAAAAAAAAAAAAAAAAAGGGACGATAGATTTGCTGACCGTAAACCGCATTGACATTTCAGACAGTTGATATATATACCCCCCCCCCCGCACCCAATATTTTACTACCTTGTATCTTTTTTCTTTGTGTATATTTTATTGAGTAATTATATCTATTTTTTGGTTAATATTCTGATGTAATTATTGTTGTATCGTATTTGTATTCTTTCCAAATATTTGTGTACTTATTCCTATGTTACAAGTTTTTTTTTCTTTTTTTTTCAAATGTTGCAATATTTTTTGAAATCTATTGTAAAAATCATCTTTCGTTTGGTGTCATTTTCTGACATTCTTACTTCTTTGCAATCATTTTCTGTTTAAAATTTTTTTTGGTCAAATATTTTGCTTTATTTATTTATTTATTTATTTTTTACATTTTTGTCTAATGCTTTGTATTACTATATATACAAATAAGTGTATTTTTCCATCTAATATTTGTGTACCAATTGTACCGAAGGCTTTGACTTTTCATTTTTAGAATGAGGGCCTCTTCTTCTTCTCAAAAAAAAAAAAAAAAAAACCCCCTAAGGAATTCAAATTTGTCAGGTAATATGTGTTGGCATGACTGTGCAGAGGCTGTAGCTGTTGCGCTTACCACGTGGTGGCAGCTGAAAGCCTTCATGACGGAAGCCTCGTTGAGGAACTCAATCCTCTCGCGCAGGCTGGCCGACTCGTTGACCGTCTTGACGGCCACGTGCGTCTCCCCCTCGCCCTTGACGATGTCCTTGGCGATGCCCTCGTACACCATGCCGAACGAGCCCTGGCCCAGCTCTCGCAGGATTTTGATTTTCTCGCGGGCCACCTCCCACTCGTCCTCCTCATACACTGCGTTCATTCGCATTTGCGGTTGGGTCAACGTAGATGCGCACACACAACATTGTAAAGTGACCATATGTCAATCTACTAATTGATGTTTAATGGCGTCAGATTGGTCGGAGGAATACGAGATCAGATGGTGAGGTTGTGCCTTACTGTCATTAGCGCTGAGATACTCGGGGTTGGACGAGGCGTAGATAGGACCGCTGGGCCCTTGAGTTTGGCTGAAAGGAAAACAATCGCATCAGTTCACAGAAGAAGCGCGGCGCTTTGAGACGAGCGGCGGAGGCGGCCTACCTCTTTTTGAACATGGCAAATCCCGCCAAGGCTGCAAAGAGGACGAGCACGCAGATGACCGGTCCGATCACGATCTTCGCGATGTTGAGAGGATCTCCTGGTGGAAAAAAAAAAAAACAAAAAAAGTATCTGATGTGAGACACGCACCGCATTCCCATGTCGTCAACACATCACTGAAAGCAAAGACTTACTCGCGTCTTGTACGTAGAAGTAGGTGGGATTGGTCCACGAGCCGTTCCCGGCCAGGGAGGTGGCTCGGATCCTCACCGTGTAGTTGCCGGAGTGCATCACCCGCAGTTTGCAGCCCCGCGTGGCTTTGTACATGTTCCTTGACACGCAGTGGTGCAGCTCCTGGGCCACAACAGCTCATTCAACTCACGGGCCAAGTCTCATTTCTTCAGTTGCCATCTTCCCGGAAGGAGATGGCAATATTTTTCCACTGTATTTTCATGATAATGTTCTTGTCGTCTTCTTTTGAGTACCCATGTTTTGTTTTTTTTTTCGTTTTACTTTGTATTGATGGAATATCATATTTTTTTATGTATATGTTTGAAAATATTTTTTGCTGACCTAAAACTGTATTTTTTTCACTTTTCCACTGTATTTTCATGATAATGTTCTTGTTGTCTTCTTTTGAGTACCCGTGTTTTTTTTTTTTTCTTTCGTTTTACTTTGTATTGATGGAATATCATATTTTTTATGTATATGTTTGAAAATATTTTTTGCTGACCTAAAACTGTATTTTTTTCATCATTTTTGCTTTGGCTCTCATGTTGACGTGATGAATGATCGTCTTTGCTTTCACAAATCTGTAACTGATATCTTTGACAACATGACACTCTTCCAGCGTTTCATCTCTAGTTCACGTTATTTGTCGATGAAAGATAAAGTGGAAAGCGGTCGGAGGGACCTTTGATGTCGGCGCCGCGGTTTTGATTAGCGGCAAAGTCCGCTCACCTCGCTGTCGCCGATGCGCTTGTAGTTGACCTCGTACAGGATGATCATGCCGTTGGGGGCGGCGGGCTCCTGCCAGGTGATGTGCGCAATCATGTCGGACACCTCGTACGTGATGGGGCCCGTGATGTCATCGGCTTTGTCTGCAGGGGAACGCATAAAATGTCACAGGAAGGTGTGCTATTTGCTTTGTCCGTACATCGGTTGTGTATTTATTTGACTGACAACTCCTATTATGATTCGAGTGGACTTTCTAAAACAAAAACAAAAAAAAAAATCGATAATAAAAGTTAAGTGTTTCCTGAAAACTATTTTCTTGAAAAGCGTGCGAGCGTGTAGAGTGCGGTGGCTCACCCTCAGGCATGGTGCGGGCGCTGACGTAGGCTGCCATGCTGCAGCGGGCTGCGTCGGTGGGGTGGTTGCAGGCGTGGATTTCGATCTGGTAGCTGGTGAAGTGGCGCAGGTTGGAGATGACCGTGGACTCTTTGGCTAGCACGGTGACCACCGTCTTGGTGCTCTCGAACATCTCCTCGTCCTCGGGGATGACGGTGCTCGACAGCCCGCCGGAAGCGGCAGTGGGGGACGGGCGCGTTTGGTTGGCCACGCCCATCGCCGAGCGCCGTTGTCTTGAGCGTCTGCAAAGTGAAAATTGATTTTCTTATTTCGTCGTAAAATTACACCTTTTTCAGAAAAAAATGCAGAAAATCTTCTAGGAAGCTGAAAGAAAGCTCTCTGTGAGAACTTTTTTTCCTATCCAGAAAATCTCAAAATGAAGACTTTTTTTTTTCCTAGGAAGCTGAAAGAAAGCTCTCTGTGAGAACTTTTTTTCCTCAAAAAGATTTGACTTGACTACCCCTTTAAGGTTTCGCGTAGGGAAGTCTTACTTCATCTCAAAAACTTCATTGTGGAGGTAGTTCTCAAAGGTCTTGCGGTACTCCAGCTCCTCCTTCTCCTTCTTGAGCTCCTTGTCCGTTTTGGGGCAGGCACAGCATCGCGTGCCGGGTCCCTGCTCTTCCGTCTGGTTCCACTTCTGCTCCTCGTCTCCGTCCACCTGAGTCGGTACCCGCGAGGGCAGCTTCATCCCTGCGAAAACGGGAAGATGCTGTCACAAAAAGAGGGCGGGGCAAGGGCCACGCATGCGCGGGCTTATATAAAACCCGTGGCCAAAACGTTTTGCTCTTTCACCCATATGAAATTCTGAATTATGTTCACCGCTAAGTGTTGTTCACGCACCTTCCAGCATGACTATTGTTTTGACTTGCCTCGCCCTACTCAACCAATCCTTGACCTTTTGCTTTGCGCAGTAAGGCAAGAAATAATGTCATCACTATAACCGTCATCATTGCTAATCGTTTAATCGCGTTCATGACCCGCTCTGATTGTACCGTGACCGGTTGGCTATTTTAGGCACTCGAATCACTGGACGATCCGTGTCCGTCCATCATGACGGCACACGCATAAGTGTCGTCGACGTCTCACCCTTCTGGCAGTAGTCAAACTTGTAGAGTTCACTGGCCTCGGCCTGCCGCTGACAGAAGACCAGGTAGTGGGTGATATTGCCGTTGGGGTCGTTGGGGGGCTTCCACTTCAGTATGATCTGCGAGGACGAGTTGGATGACGAGATGGGGTCGAGAGGGACCGATGGTTCTGTGGACGCAAAGATATCGACACAACATTGAATATCCAGTCCATGCACCGCCACAGAGCTCAATGCTGACCAACTTTTGGGGGTGGGGGAACATAAATAAATCAAACGTTCATTTTGGGATGCAAGAGATAGCCGATGAGTGCTGTTGACGTTCTGCTATAGTTCGTGACATTTTTAATCATTTCTTTTCACTGTTTGTGATTGTACAATTGATTTTTACTCCCCGTAGAGAAAGCCCTCGGTATGCAGCTGCGGTTGTTTTAAAGTGCGGTATAAATAAAGGCTTGAGTTCTGTGGGAGTTGGCACTGACAAGTGCACACGTCGTTCCGATTCTATTTCAGTGCTTTTGTTTGTATATATGAATAAATAGGTATAAAACACTAGTGGGGCTGATAATACGCGGCCAACTTTATTTATAGGTACGATACGGATGAGAGCTTCACCTGAAGTAACTAAAGTCCAGAAAGTAGTTGCATATGGGACCGATGCTGTTTCCGACCATTTTGGCTCTCTGGATGTCAGCGTAAAGGCGAACACAGACTATTTGGGCACCAAACCAACTGCTGCTTATAGGGAAGCCACGGCTGACAATCTGACGCGACATGGACGAGGGAACCTTGGAGTGAGGGGTGCCAGACAGGGTAAGAGCGCCACCACCCTGCCCTTCACATGGCAACCGAGCATTCATGGGCACATCTAAAGAATCTGCGTACAAGCTTTTCCATATGGTGTTAATAATATACGATATGCGGTGCGTTTCAGATGGAAAAATTGGCAGAACACTGTCCTCTTTTTTCCCCCCCCGCCATCTTTCCACGAGTAATTTATTTCAGGAGGTGGGAAAGATGGCGGCTGTCATATAGTCTAAGAATCCCCTGGAGAGCACTTGGTCATAACTGATGATCCCGGATTGAACAAAGTTGCACTCGAGCCATACGTTACAATATTGTGCTTGGCCAACGTGGCCGTGGGAGCCGTGGAAATAAAAGCAAGTGGTCAAAATATTGATTTTCTCGCACGAGCAAAGGAGCCCGATTGATGGTCCAAAAAAGACGGCTCTAATAGTTGGCATTATTTCTCAAGAACGTCATCGGGAAAGAAATCACGTCCAAGTGGGGTTGCAGCGTTACACGAATTAAGAAGAAGAAGAAAAAAAAAAAATCTCAAAAGAATCCGAGAAAAAAGCTGCAATGAGAACAGAATCGGAACTTTACCGGGGAAAAGTGACGATTAAAGTTCTTAAGACTTTTTCTGTAACATATTGCCTCTTCTCTAATTGAGGCCGTGTATCACCCACTCGGTCGTCCACTTGAAACAAAACCACCTCCCTCCCTTTATTCGCGTACGTAATTCGACAGATGACGTGAAGTCTTACTTGTTGCGTTGGTGCGCACGTAGATGATGTCGCTCTTGGCCCCGTGGACCTGGTGCTCGTCGGAGGCGGAGAGCTGCGTCTTGACCATGATGGCGTACTGCGTCCAAGGCTTGAGGGGCAAGATGAGGTGGCCCGGCTCAAAGTGGTACTTGTCGCCCTCGGGGGAGCGCGGCGGCGGGTCCACGTCGGCGATCACCCAGCTGTTGGAGCCGCACGCGTCCTGCCCGTCAAACTCGGTCACGTTCTGAAACGGCCTGAGAAGATCACAGCGCGATATTATTCCGGGCAATATGGCCGAGTCTACGAACGGTCAACGGTAAACACGCTTTTTGCAAAGAGAAATGCTCATGTTCCAAGAACAAATTCAATGTGTTGCTGTCGTGTTATAAAACGGCCCTGATCTCAAAAGAATGAGGTTATTATTTGAAACAAGATGGAATGGAACAAGACTACTTTTGTCATACGGCAAGAACGCATTTGTTGGGACTGTTACAACAATGGTCCTAAGGTTACATGCCGGGTAAGAGTCGCAACGCTCAATGAAAAAATATCAACTAAAAAGGAACGGTGAGCCCCCGACGCCCAAGAAACATGTCGGTAATATGTCATCAATTTAACCGGCGAATGTCAAAACAACCAATGAATTATCATCAAATCAATGGAGGTCATCCAGTGGCCCGGAACGTCATTTGGTGGATTTGTAAAGCGCTAGCCAGCCGACTCCCATGTTTCGAAACACACGTTCACATTTTGTCACGTCATCCATTCCGGTTGCAGCTGAAAACAATATACAGTACATTTGGCGTACACTCCGGTCACACAGGAAGTGGAAAAGAACTTACGCCTCTTTATAGAGCACCATGAAGCCCAGGAGGTCTCTGAAGTCTGGAGGCCAGAAGGCTTCCCACTTCACCATGATCTTATCGCTCTTGGTGCGGATCTGAGTGAACTTCAGCACGTGATTCTCACCTGGCAAAACGCATTTGGGTCATGAGGTAAAGAAAGGTGCAAAAGACGTTCGTTCCCGAGTGATACAGATGTGCTCAAAGGGCGACTTAAGATGAAGTGCGCGCACTCGATCATTTGAATGTGCCGAAACGTTTTTTTTTTTGAAGTGAATGAAATCGAAACGCCGTGTTGCCGACGGGCCATCAAGCTTTCGGCACCGCTCCCGGCGGCCATTCGGAGTCCCGTCGCTACAGACGTTGACTTTCGCTTGAAAACAGACTCACAAAATCATGCTCGTTCGTGAGGTGATGCCAAGAAAAGCCGCTGGTGAAACGATGACCGATAAAGGTGCGTCAATCTCCACGGCAACACGACTTACACGATGCCTGGTCGCCGTTGGTCTTGGACGCGATGTCGTTCCTGCGCTCCCGGGTGCCGGCGACCTCTTCCATCTTGCGAATCTCCGACATGCACAACTTGGAGTTGTAGTGGAAGAACATGCGTCCCTGCAGGATGCTCAGCTTGTGCTTGGACCAGTCCCACAGCTGTCGCAGGTTCTGGTTGTCCAGGGCGTAGAAGGAGTAATTGCTATGGGGGGGGCGGGGGACAGACAAGGTTGAGGAATGGTAACTGGTTCATGGAAGTCAGTGGTTCTCAACTGGGGATGGTCCATCCATCCATTCTCTTCCGTTTCCAAAGCTCAGACTTCTCGCTCCCAAGCCACTTCCCCGGAGGTGTTTCCACATCAACCAATACACATCGTCCCTCCATAGTCCCGGCGGCTTCCGGGGCAGCCTCCCGGTGGGACGTGTCCGGACCACCTCACGAGGGAGACGTCCAGGAGGCATCCCGATCAAATGCCCAAGCCACCTCATCGGGGTTCTCTCAATGCGCAAAAGCAATGCCTCCACTCTGAGCGGCTCCCTGATGACGAAGCTACTCATTTTATTTCAAAGGGAGAGCCCGGACACTCTCAGCAAAATAATGATCAATAAATTATGTCATTTCATTTTGAAGACGCGCATACCCGACATATGCTGTCTTCTCCCCAACGCGATGTGATATTGGGCTTTCTGGTGAAATATCAGAATGATTATACTGTAACCTTTGCAGGTGTACTGTACTTAATTTCACCTTGTCGAAATATTTGAATGCGCAAAAAAAGAAGCAGAATGGAAAACAGTCACAATTGCGGGGCTGAACTGGAATGTAACCCCCCCCCACGGGAGATGAAATCTGCAAAGTAGCGACCAAATATTTATTTTACTATTCACAGCGGACTCTCGCTATTCATGGGGGATACGGTCGGTCGTGACTGGGCCGCTGTGCGAATAGCAAAAATACCCACACACACACTATATGAAAAAAGAAAAAAATTGTATTTGAATTCAGTCGCGATGTAGAGAGGGTGCAATACGGTCCCACACAGAACATATTTGGTAAGCGACAGGAAATGTTACTCATTTCTGCTCTACTCACTCGTTTGCTCTGTCAACATAAACAGCGCAAGCGCAGCTCAGACGATGGCAAGCGGGAATCGTCATGAGCAATATGCCTTGTGGAACGAGCAAATTGATTTGAAACAGCGTTTAAAAACACAACACATTGTGGTAGGTTTGGCATTGTCAAATATTTTTAGGACTGATTACAGTACTCTATCGTTAATACGATTGTTCAATCGGATATTTTTGTTTTTCCACTATGCAGCAAAGCCGGAAAAGTGAATTGCAAAAAAAAAAATAAAAAATAAAAAAGCGACAGACAAGTAGTGAATGCGTAAACGGTGTTTGCATTATGAGGGTGTACTTGTGTAAAAAAGGTTTTTGAGAACCTCTGCAGCAGGTAGAGGACAATGCCTCACCCAATTTCCGTCTCCTCCCCACGGACGACACGAAGCTTGCGGAAGAAGGACAGCGAAACCAGGGCGTAGGAGCGCCGCACCGTCAGGTAGCCGGTGATCTCCTCCAACTGGCCCAGGCTGGCCTCCAGCTCCGCCGCTATGTTGTCTGACGCAAAAACAAACAAACAAACAAAACAACCACCGAGAGTTCGTCATGTCGCCTGGTCCGACTTCAAAGGTGGCGATTTTTGGGTGCTTACTTCCTCCGCGCAGGTTGATGACCAGGCTGCCATTGAGGACGGTGCAGCCCCTCAGCGCCTGCGCTGCCGTGACCGAGTCCACGATTTTCAGACCAATGCACACCTTGGGGCAGAGCCCGGCACATGGGGTGCAGTTCAGCCTGCGTAGCCGTGAAACAAAAACATGTTCGTATGTTACACCTGCGGGGAAAATGTCAACTGTGTTCACCTTGGAATTCTTAGAGACAAAAAAAATAAATAAAAAATAGAAAGATGCTCTGCCCACTGGATGCCTGTTGCGAATCAAAGCGGCAGTACCCATCAAATACATAAAGTGTCTCTCACTCAGATGAATTCAAGCGTGGAGTTTATGGAATGATGATCTTCTATTCGGAGCAGGCGGCGTCTTTGGGGATGCGGTCGCTTGTTCCACCCATTCTGCCTCATTTAGTGCTACCTCCTCCTCCTCTTAATTTTGTTGTAATTGAAGACCACTTTGTAAAAATGTGATCACACCATAATATTGTGTGAGCTTTTTTTTTTTTTTTACGCAACCCATGTGTTCCGCCTATTTCGTCTTGTTTACTTTCATTTCTCCATAGTAGTCCTTTTTCATCTCGTTTTAAACTCCACTTTCAGGACTACAGCATATTTTTGGTCTTTCCACAATGTTGTGTACGTCCACATTTTTCTTCCGGGGCCCACCTCGTCTTGTCCTATCAAGGTTTACAACTCCGTGCCATCTGTATGTTTATCTTGCAATAAACACCGTCTGATCGTTTTTCGTATGTGAGGCAAAGTTTATCCAAACAGCAAAGAATGAGAACATTAGCGTCAACGCTAACAGAGGGCTAAAGTAGGTAATCCGCAGTCGCCGCGGTAACGATAAGCATGCCCTTCTCCTTATCCCGCCCCGGTATCTGCTCCGCATCCTGAGAGAAATATCAAAGCCATTAGCGAATAAATGTTCCCACCGCTAAATGTGCTTGTCTGACATTTCTGCAACCCCCCCACCCCGGCTTGAGAGTGACTTTTGAAAAAGATGCACTGCGATGAAAAAAACTGTGACTATAAGGTGCACGGTAACAAAATAGCTCCATTATTATCTTTCGACTGAATTGAACCCGGTTAAACAAACTGCCTTATGTAATGTTTTCATATCGCATCTTCCCACAACAGCTGTGTGTGTCTGCCGCATTAATTTATGTCCCTGAAAAGTCCATCTGCGCAATCCCATCATTCATAACGCGGTGGTGGTGATGAGCACAAAGGCATACTCCAAAGTGCACCAGAAACGGATTCACTCAGCAGACACGCTGGTGGTGTGTCCCCCCCCCCCAACATCCCCAGAGTGATTAAGGTTGTGATTAAAGCGAGGATTAGACACCAGTGATGGAGGTTATGGTCATTGCTGTGATTGGTGCTGAAATATTTTGGTCTGGCGGCTTTATGATGACAGAACTGTTTTGTTTGGCAAAGCACAGAGACAACTGCGGAAAAAAAAAATAAAAAAAGAGTAAAAGTTGCGGGGAATGAACTGAACCGGCGCAGACATGCTCCACCCACAGGTCGAGATGACAACCCAAATTCCTCGCAATTTCTCATTGCTCACCCATCTGATATACGCGGTAGCAATTGAGCAAAACCTGGTGGACAATTTTGTCTTTGAAGGACCCCTGGAAAGTACCCACTTGGCCCTAAAATCCAACCAGCATATTTTCTGTCCCTTTTCAGGATAGCCTCTTGAAACTTTGTGCGGCTTACTGATTATAAACATGCCTACCAGATTTGGGGGCTGAATTTTCCCCAAACTTCGAGGGGAGCTACTAAACCTGTTGTTTTGTTGTTGTTTTTTTTTTTTTTTTTTTTACCGATTATTCCATTCAGATTCAGACTAATTTACCGAGATACAATTTGAAACAATCGAGGTGGCGCAGCGACTGATTATGGAACAAAAATGTCTGCATCTCCTCTGTTTGAGGGTCTACTCATGATAGACCATTGATAATAACTCTATAACGACTGTGGGTCAGCTCATTCACAGTGTTTTTCATGGCGGTGACTCCTCTATGAGGTCGAAATACGGAATAAAAAGAGAATAATACAAGTATTGTGGTCGCTTGGAGATTAACGACAGATTAAATCGGCTAAACAAACAATCGAGGAACGGCGGCGGCACTTAAAAAAAAAAAAAAAAAAAAAAGCCACATGTGCACTTTGAGCGTCGAGCGCAACGTTTATTCTGAGCGCCGGCGAGAGTTGAGCTGTGACGGAAGCGGTGCGGGAGTAAAAGTGCTGATAGGCGACAGTGCAAGAAGGGTTCAGTTGGAGGCAAATGCAGCAAGAGACTCAAAGCTCAACGCCAAACATGGTGGAACGTTATTATTGTCAGGACGTGGCCGTGATTGCCAGAACACAAAAATACGAAATTATAGGGTTCCCAAATAAACTGATTAAACAGCATTGCTCCACCATGTTGTGAGCGTGCGCGTTTATGTTCCCAGAGCTATGAGAGTCATTCAGTTTCAGTGACTCTATTTTTTTCGTTGGTGGTGTGTGTTTATTTATTTTTTTTAGTAAGGAAAAACAGGACTCAATATTATACTAAACAGAGTGCGCTAATTGTAATGAAATAGAATGTTAAGAATTAAACTGCGCGTCATGATTTAATGTTGCGATCCAATTCATTGTGCTGCTCTTTCTGCCATGTGCGCCTGCACCACCAGGAGGCATCGTGATGCAGCCATGCAGACGAAATAGAAAAAAGAAGAATTCTACTTTTACTATAAGTGACTCAGTCAGACGCTGTAATATTTGTCATTTTTCGGAGAGGATAAGGAACGTATGCCTGTGAGTATTGTGATATTATCTGTCTACACGTGTTGCTTCACTCTTTGTGTTCAAATATCCATGCTTCTAAAATTGCAACAATGGCTATCAAATTTGTTTACAAAAAGTCTTATGTTTTGTTTGATGGGAAACGTGAACTGGGAGTGGCATTAAAGAGGTTTCCTCTTCTTTTCTTCTTTTTTGCTTAACTGTTCAATTTTTGCCAAACTGCCGTTTCTGGTTAAACGAGTTGAGTTCGATGCGGTACTTGTATCTCAAATGTGCGCTCGGAAGTCAAAAAAGCTGAAACGTTTTTTGAAAAATGATTACGTCGGGTCACTCGTATCTCAAGGCTCCACTGTAAGGTACTTTGTTGTCACTTGGCCTGACAAGAACAATCAGGAATGTCGGGAGCTCACGTCGGCTGGCAGGCACGGCCAAAAATATGCAAGTTCCCTGATGAGGTCCGCGAGGCTGACGAGGAGCGATGTGAAGAAGGTTGTGGAGAGGTCAGCGCGTGTATAAATCCCCAATCCGGAGTGGGAAGTCAGATAGATAAATATCACAAAAACTGGAAATGGAGTCAAGTGGAGCAAAGGGGAAAACACTTCATGTCTGAGTCACTGAGACATTTATGTAGCAAGACAACATGCAGAGACTGAATTCGGCTCGAAAATAAAATAGGAAATATTTCCAGATTGCTCAAAACATCAATACAGTAGTCTGCTTTCTGTGTTGTTTAGTACACTTGAACTCTATTTGGATTCATTCAGCCCGGTCTGGACGGTCATTGGACCAAACCGGCCGACACCGAATGGGGGGCACCGAGTCAAAGCTTCCCACCGTCTTCCCCACCGATGTCGTTCGGAATAAACAACACCAACACTGACTAAGTCGGCGATGTCTACCCTGCAATTTGTCCAAAATTCTCATCTGCACAGGCACCATCCTGTCACTGCCTTGGCTGATGTTACCTTTGAAGGTGGAAAACTCCTGAGCTCATGTCTTCCCACCATTGCAGTTTATAAAGAAGAGCCACATGGCTGGGGGTTGTGGAAAAATACTGGCTTCTACGAATCTACCATTCTAATGCATCCCCCAATGTAACACTCAAATAATGACAGGAAAAGCTGTTCGGCGTGGAGGATACATTGCATGCCCACTCTCGAAAGGTGAAAATCTGCACGACAGAGACAGACCTTTTTTTTTTTTAAAAAAATAAAAAAGTTTAGGGGGAAAGGGACAGAGCCTTGCCATCAAGGGTGAAAATGAGCAAATAATTGACATTCCTCCTCAAGGGTCTTGTAATTGGGGATAAATGCCACAAGATGGCGGCAATGCACTTATAACGGAGACCCGACGTGAAAACCTTTTTTTAGGGAAATGACAGGGCGGCGGTGCACTTACGCCGAGGAGTTGACGGTGGTGTAGCCGGAGGGACACTCGGGGATGCAGGCGCCGTCGTGGATGACGTACTCGTGGCACTCGGGGCTCTGGCTACGCTCCTTCTCCCGCTTGCACCTGTCATTGAGGTCCCGGCAGAAGGCGAAGGAGACGCAGCGCCAGCCCTTGAAGGTGTAGTGGCCGTCGGGGCAGCGCTCCACGCAGCCGCCCTGGTGCCGCAGACCCCGGCAGGCCACGCAGTGAGCGGCCGACCGGGGCTCCAGGCAGCCGCCGAGGCACTGCTCGTGGCAGCACTGCTGGTCCCGGGTGCAGGCGCGGTATTTGCAGTGGACGGGACACACTTCGGGGGGGGGGGGAGACAAAAGGAGGTCGGGATGGTCAAGAGGGGTTGATCATGAAACCAAAGCGGCCATTTCATCTGGCTTGGAAAATAACATGCATCATTTCGAATGGAAGTAGCCCTGAAGGCACATGGAAAGCGTTGTTTGTTATCTCTGTTTATTCACAAGTTCACTTTCAGTGCAAATACATTCAATTGCATTATTTTAACGACGGGTCTTAAGGAATCGCTCTTTTTCTTTCATGAAACAGGTTCCGTCGGATAAATCACCTTTATTTGACACCCTCATCTTACAAAGGCGCCGTCTATGCAGAGTTATAATGTCGGAACTGAGACGGGAGACACATAAATCCTGCAAAAATGCATCGATGTCTGACCTAAAAAAAAAAACCCAAAACAAGACCTTAATATTGAGCTCAGGCGCAAGCCATTTTTGTTCATCTTTAACACAGAACACAGCAAATCGTATGCTATTAGAGCAAATGTGTGCTATCACAATCAAGGTTTTCCACATTCATGTCCAGTCGCGACTTGAGATACGAGTGACCCGACTGAGGACATTTTCAACATACGAGCCGTCATTCTGCCATTTTTTTTTTCTTTGACTTGAGAGCACAAACTGGAGATATGATTGCAGTCAAGATTTCAAGCCCGAAGCTTTATACTGCGAGTCAGATGTGCCAACCACTTGGTCACCACGCTGCTTCCAAACATTCCAAGAAAAAAGGCCTTCCCTAAACCACTTTTCCCCGTGCTATAGAGAGCATACACCCAGGAGGAATAAAGAGGTTGATATAGCTTTGCTGTTCCATAAAAGTGCTCATCAGGCAGAGCGAAATCCCTCGGTGAGCCAGTCAGCAGCGAGAGGATCATCTTGCTGTCAGCTAACAACAAGTGTTATTGTATACAAACAGCAGGGGGCCGGGCAAGGGGGGGGGGGGGGGGAGATCGACTATGGCTCAACACCAGCTAATGAGGAAGGACAATCTTCGGGCGGCGGGAAGTCAACACGAGCGACGGTTGACGTCTTTTGCAAGCGAGACACTTTTGTAATATGAAACTAATGTGTGACGGGTGACTCAAGAACCGACAACAACAAAAACGTGCGTCTTCATGAACACGAACAGAGTGATCCATGGCGGTGTGTGAACCAAGCACAGGAAAGAGAGGGGAGAAGAGATGTTGCGGGTTAACATACGAGGACCCGGTGAGGTGTCTGGCCTTTGAAGGACAGATAGCATGACGCAAGGCGACTGTTTTGCACGCGTCTGCATATATGTGTGTGTTTGGAATAATAAGCCTGTTATATAACATTAGATCAGGTGTGAAGGCACCTCCTCGTGTGTGTGTGTGTGTGTGTGTGTGTGTGTGTGTGTGTGTGTGTGTGTGTG